GACCTGGGTTTAATACCAACTATGAATATTGGGGAAAGTACCCATTTTCCTGATCTATTTTCTCATCTGAAAAATGCAGGAATGATGCTCAGTAAAGGCACGTTTAACTCTAAAACTCGATATTCCTCTGTAGCAACTCAGAGAATAAATGAGAGAAAATAAGATTTGTGACTTCCACTCTTTGCTCATAACATCAGCATAAAAGGAATTTCTGGGGACAGATAGGTTAGCTGGAAGGTTTGTGTCTCTACTGGACAGTTGTTTTCAAGAACTATTTTGATTCTGGAAACATTTTCCATATTAATTTAAATAAATATATTATATTCTTTAAGACAATGATATATACTGTCTTTAGAGATATAATTGGTTTATAAAGAAGTCTTTAGTCTGTCTACTCCTCCTTTTACTTTTTTTGGCATCCCTAGGTGAAAATCCAAAGGGAATTGTATGTGGCAGAAGAAAAACTATTGAGTATAGTTAATGGTTGTCAGTATTAAAGCCAAGTATTCACAAGTAAAAGGAATGAGGTCCATGTCATTGGTAATGGGATTTAAATGGATTTAGGAACTAAGACTGAAACAGGAGCCTAATTAGAGAAGATTCCAGGGTCATCATGTCAGTGCCCACCTGTCCATCAGGCAGACAGAGTGTCCACAGCTTTCGCTTCAAAGACATGGCCTGTTCTTTTCATCAGTGTCTCTTGCCTCCTAGTTCTTGAGGGAAAAGACATCTTGGCTGCCCCGTGCAGCTTGCTGTGTCTGAAGGAGCATACTGAGTGCAGGTTGAGATTCAGCTTATGTCTGGCCTCTAAAAAAGATTCAGACTCAGAATATGATATTTAATGATTTTCTTAAAGATGGGTGCAGAAAAGAAATCATATTAGATAGATTATCTTTGCTTGGGTTATTCTAGTTTTAATTGCCCTTTTAAAAATAAGAAGAAAGGACATGGGTAGGGAATAAAATATCTATTCCCATTCATGGGACAGCCACACTTATAATGGTTGCTTTGTACCTATTCTTTGTATCTCAGCTACTGAACATTTGCTAAGTGGACCTCTGTTCCTTTTTTTCTTTTCTAGTACACTTTGGGGTTTTCTACATGAACAATTAATGTCTTTAGCCTACATTGGTTTTTCATGTGGAGCATGTTAGTTATAGAAGCAACACCCAGAGTAGGTGACATCTGAAGCTGAATGGGGGAGGTAAGACCAAGGTAGTAATTGAGCTCAGCTAATCTCTTGGTGGTGGAGTGGGCGTCTGTGTCACGCATGTGCCATAGTCAGTGTTTCTGCACCTTGGTGAGTTAGCACATTAGAGAATATAGAGAGGTCTATAGCTTACTCTGTCCTCCTCTGTTGCTTCCCTTTGCTCTTTTCCATCTTTGATGAGGTTTGTTGCTTGATGTGGAGAGCCCAGAGATAGTGGAAAAGGGCATGGAGCAGAGATGGCACTTGTATAAGGGAGTCTAATGTGTGAAGATTCTCCATCATAGAAGTAGGATTTTGTGTTCTTTCCTTTTAGACTCCATCCCAACAATATTTCTCATCATTTAGATCATTATTTGTCTTTAGGCATCAATGCGCAGAGGTGATTCCATTGGCTTTAGCTTTAATTAAGAAAAACTAAATCATTAGGGAAGCAGATTCCCTCTTCCAATTCCTAATTAACTTACAGGCAAATTTGTTTTCTGCTAATGACACATCCACATTTTGTTTCAGACTCTGGCCAAATGTTAGCTCAAGGTTTTCATAAATGTAATCCATATTTTAAAATTACCATCACGGATTTTAAAAAATTATTATAATTGACTGAACTTCTTGGAATTCATTTCATAAAACACAAAGTTTGCACTATCGAGAATCACACATGAGAACATTGTGTGATTATCGAGCAATCTCAAAGTGTTCTGAAGCAGGTCTCCTTTGATTCTGCACATAGAAATCTACTTATTATCTTTTTTGGAGTTAACAAAATAAGAGCAACAAAAAAACAATGGATTGGGATCCAACCAAATGCAATTCTGATTCTTAGTTCTCTGGAACATATGCTTAACTTATGCATTTATTTACCCATTCTAATAAGTGTTAGCTTGATATTAGAGCGAAGTGCTAGGCTGGCTTGCTCAATCTTACCTTTCTTACCAGTTGATTCAGGCGGAACTCATTTGGTGTCACCCTGGAGTTAAGAGTCAACACAACTACAATTAAAACCAAATTTTAATCTCCAGCTTCTGTGGTGTATATCAAAAAAGTAGTGTGTGGGAGAGAAAGATGAGTCGAGTGGTAAAAAGTGAAAATGAAGATAAAAGGTGAAAAAAATGAAAGGATAGAGAAGAAAGGGAGAGCAGTGAATTGCGACCTGTCCATAGAATACCGGAAACATTCTCCCCTCATAGCCAGCTCCTTGCCAGATGAATACAAAACTCTAGGTTGCTCTGATGGAATCCAGCTTTTTGAGTACCCAGAAGTTTTCAAATTCTCAAATGATAATATTAATTATTTTGTCCAATAAAATCTTACATAGATGCCCAAGATAAAAAACAATTTAAGTTGTATTAGTATAAATCTACCTTATAAATGAACATTTATAAAATTTCTTTTGTATGAAGTTAATTCGTGGGAACTACACTGTTAAACACAAAAGTTTGAAATTCAAGAATATGGAGAATACTTCCTTTCATCAGCCACTACATTCAATTTCTGTGTTTTGTTTTAAATGCACAGTGTCAAAGAAGTCTTGTTTCACATTAAAGGCAAAGAGTATCTAATTTTTAAAACTTCTGGAAATATTCAAACAGAATTTTAGTAGCTTTACTATGTTGAAGAAGGATAATTGGTAAACTTGGGTCTGAAGGCTGTTCACTGTAATAGTTGCAAACATAGATGCCATCAGCACCTAAGACAAGTGGGAGGCAAACCCTCTTGTTTTAACATATTTACAGTGGGTGCCAGAGCTCTCACTGATGGAAGAGTCCCCTGTACCCATGCTGCCATTGAACACAGTGTGAGATAGCATCCAGAGCATACCCTGCACTGCTAGACCCAAGCCTACTGTGGCATTTAGTTGAACTTTGCACACTCAAGTATCGTAGTTTGCTGGCTTTAGGTACGTACATACCTAAATTTTAACAAAAGAACAGTACCTTGTGCTTACAAATGAATGACATCTACAAGTTCAAACACAAACCTAGAGGTGGAAGGAGACACTGAACCCTGAAGTTGGCACATATTGACTTAACTTGGCAGCAAAAATCAAAATAATGCAGGGCCAGTGTGTTCATATGTTACAGGCAAGTTCTGCTTTTAATTACAATGAAATATGTAATTGACTCAAATATTATGAGGTTGCTAAGCACTTCCTTCAAATTCTAGTATCAGAAAATTCTACCCTCGACTAGAGTCCCAAGCTCACCAGTCCTGGTATTCCTCACTAAATTGCCTAGGTGCTAAAGAGTTATTCTGATGAGAGCAAGAGAGCTTGTATTTTCCAAAATTTATGGCCACTTTATTTCATTGTGGTGTCATCTCCCTGTTGGTTTCTTATAACAAATGTATACTTTTCATTAAACTATTCCTAGCGAATTCTCAGAATAAAGTCCCAATACCTTAATTTGGTTTTCAGAGTCTCTCTCTCTCTACCTTGCAAAGCTATTGCCCCAAACACTGCCCCCAACATAACTTATTTCATTTGTTTTTCTTTTTACCTGTTGCTTTTGCTTTCTCTTCGCCTAAAATGCCCACCCTTATATATCTTCATGTCTCAATCTTATGATCAAGACCTTAGAAGTAGTCATTTATGGTTCAGCAATATTTATGCACTGTGTGTGTGTGCACATGTGTATATATACATATATACACACACATATTAAACATACACCTTAGTGCATGAATCACATATATTAATACTAATGACATGGAAATATTATTGTCATTATATTAAGTGGAAAAGCATATTGAAAAAGATGATTCTATTTTTTTGAGGAGAAAAAGATGTAGGAAAAAATTCCTGAAGGTTTTACATCCACAAAAATGTTACCAGTTTGAGCTACTGGAGATAAGGCTTACTTTACTTATTGGTGTTTTATATATTTGGGCAGTAAGTCTTTTGTAATAAGACATGCACTAATAAAATGCATCTCTAAAGTACATAGCACCTCATACCACCCTTAAATAAAATTTTAGAATATCTGAACCCCAAACCCTTTAAGTTGTTCTCACAATTATGCATATATCCAGATATTTTAAATAATGTTTAACCAATGTGCATGGTACTAAGGTTGTTGATAATGCTAAGATTTGGCACAGCGTATTTTAATGCCTATTTTGGAAATCATCAGACTGTCCATTCACTCACGTTTGCAGTGATGCCCCTTTGTCTGCAAGGGTAGAGTACACCTGAGATATTTACTAATGAAAGAGCATTGAGATTTACTGTTTTCCAAAGACCTGGGTGGCATTTTTCAAATATCCTCCTCAACAGAAAAAGAGCAAGCAATTCTGCTGTGTCATAGTTGTGAACAACGTGTTCACAAAGAAGTGTGACTACAGTTTCTGGTGAATGTATTAGTAAAAAAAATCATAATACATAACCATAATACTCCCCATCCACTCTGTCACTCTGAGGCCCTGATATCCTGCTTTGTGGTTTGTTTCTCCACATAGGCTCCTTCTGACACAAAAAGGATATATTTGATACTCACTGATAATTTTTTTAAAGAGTGAATTAGGCAATTTTCCTTGAAACGTCTTTTCTAATTTAGCATGAAGTAGAATAGAATAGTAGAAATGATGGGATTTATTTGGCGATACTAAAATAAGAAGGGGAATTGTTTGGTCCTACAGCAGACTGTAAGAGGGCTGAGGAATGGATTGAAGAAAATTATCAAGCATGCATGTTGTTTTTAAGTGATACTTGAGACTTGGATGTGCAACAGCTGTGTTGTTGGCTTTTTTTTTCTTGTGCCAACTTTCTTTATTTGATTGATTTTCTCTCTGACAGCCCACTGTGCTGATAAATGTGTCCACGGTCGCTGTATTGCTCCAAACACCTGTCAGTGTGAGCCTGGCTGGGGAGGGACCAACTGCTCCAGTGGTAAGTTTCCACCTGCTGTTGTCCGTCTCGGGATATTTTTGCTGTAGGGGCCTCCTTGTCTGCAGATGACCCTGGGTCATGCTTTCCCTCTTCATCCCTACACAGAGCGTAGTGTGAATGCCACGTCCATCTCGGTCATACAGTTTCTTTTAAATCTGTACATGTACATATACATTATTTGTTAATTAAGTATAACGAAAAGTTCTTGGAAAGAAGGAAATTTCCGCAATCATACAACAGCTCATACTTCTGCGGATGTGAATGCATTTTCTAGAGTAGGGTCCACAATTTAGGCTCCTTACTTCAGTAAGGCAGTTGTGGTAACATAGCTATTGTATCCTAACTTCTGTTTTTACCTGTTGATTTCTCCAAGAAAATTTCTTGGTGGTTAAAATTTACCACCTGTTGGTTTTTAACTCAGAAGTGAAATTGGTATTTTTGATGCTAACATATCTTTTTGTCTCTGAATTCTGAGATGCAAATAATGAGTACTTGCTCAGATAACTTTCGAGAGACTTATCTGTAATAAATGAAAATTCATGAACATTTTGGTACTTGTTAAATCAATTCCTAACATAGTGTATCATTTGTCTACATTGTGTTAGAATTATAATTCTAAAATGATGGCATTTTGGACTCAAAGCAGTCTACACCTAACATTTCATATTCATCATCGTAAAGATTATATCATGGAATGTCATGTAATACAGTTGCTTTTCTAAATTTCACAGTTTAAACCAAAATCTTCTGGCTAACTTGTTGCTGTGCACGTAATTGCATCCACTTCCTTTTCCTTTATACTTCTTTTTTCGCCTTGAGAAACGTGAGAAGGAATTAAAGTGCAACTGAATTGTAATGCGTGAAACATTACATTTAGAAAAAGGAAACAATCGTTTTAAAAAGTTAGCAAGTTCGCATGACAGCACAAATTTCTCTTCGTTGCCATCAAGGAATTTTTTGAAATTAGTCTGAATGGACTTATTTCAATAAGCTGATTTTAAAAATTTTTACTTGCTTACTTTGGAATTGGGGAGATTATTTATCTTGCTAGGACTACTTGTTTCGGACTTGTGATCTCTTGGCTCTCCTTGAAGCAGCATCTCCAGGGGAAGCCCTTGTGCCGTCTGTGCACAGAATGCTTGGTGTGAAAGAGCCTTTTTACTGTACCTTAAACAGTGACTGGGAGTGTGTGTGTGTGTGTGTGTGTGTGTGTGTGTCTTTCTGCCCCTGACAGGCTTCTCGATTCCAGGGAAAAACTGTCTTGCAGGGTTTTGTTTTGCTTCTGTTGGAAATCAGGAGGAGAGTGGGCATTTTGTTCACACGCCATTGAGGCAAAATGTTTGGGATGTGGGATTTGGCTCATGTCCATTTTTCTGGCCGACTGACCTCAAATGTGATGTTGCTTTCATTAACTTTTCCAGTTTAAAAATCAGTTGTGCCTAGACATCTTGAAGAAAAATAACATTATTATAAACTAGTGGGATAGGGAAGAGTGGGCATATTCGTCATTTGAAACTATGTGGTTTGCCACTAATTCCAGGACAAAAAAGCTACAGAATAACTTCAGTTGTATTCATACTTTGTCTCCTAAGAACTGCAGACTACCTTGAGCTGAGGGCTCAGACTGAAGAGTGTTTGTGTAAGCAAAACAAAAGCCTACATGGGTTTCAGACTCTCTAGAACTGATTAGGACCTTCTAGAAAATAAGCTGTTGCTTTATTTTGGAGTTTAATGGAGACTCTAGAATTCTGAGAACAGATGTTCTTGTAACACTGAAATATGATACTGAGGCAACTTTTAGTTTATTTTTACAACTCATGTTTGACTTTATGATGAACAAAAGCATAAATAAACATGAACAGATGTCTGAAATGTTTAAAGGTGTTCTGAGAAAAACATTTCTGATACCTTTTTAAGCAGGTAAAAAATGATATTCTGAGCTGAACCCAGAATATGGGTCTTGCTATCTGAGTTTTGTCTGTGGCAATCAGCCTAATATCAGGAAATGTATCATTTTGTTTATTTTGACCAGATAATTCTGGAACCAAAATCTGTTGTCTAGTAATGTGCTACTTAGCAGAGTTTAAATGGCCTAATTTCAAAGGATTCTATTTCCATCTCCCCTCCTCTTTGGTTATTGTTATGTATCAATTTGATGGTGTACATTGGATCCATAAAATAATTCCTTTGATAATTAGACTAGCTCCTTGTATCACTTATGGTACAATCAGGAGACAGAAACCACAGTAATTTTTAAATTTTTTAAGTATAAATTTGTTTTATTTTGGAACACTTTTAGACTTATAGAAAAGTTGCAAAGATAGTACAGAGCTCCTGTGTGCTCAAACCCAGCCTCCCCCATTGTTAACTTCTTAAATTATTATTAGTTTGTCAAAACTGGGAAACTGACAGTAGTATATTACTATTAAATCAACTGCAGATGTTATTTGAATTTTATCAGTTTTTGCACTAATGTCCTCTTTCTCTTCCAGATTCCAGCTCAGACCAACACACTACATTTCACTGTCATGTCTCCCCTGTCTTTTCTGATCTGTGACAGTTTCTCAGTCTTTCCTTGTTTTCATGACCTTGAAATTGATAGTCTAGAGGAGAACTGGCCAGGTATCCTGTAGAATGTTCCCCAATCTGTGTTTGTCTGGTGTTTTTCTCATGATCAGACATGGGTTATGAGTTTTGAAGAGAATACCGGAGTTGAAGTGCTCTTTCTCTTCACATCATATCATGATATCCATGTGACATCACTGATGTCATCACTTGGTTAACCTTCATCAGTTGGTTGAGGTAGTGTGCTAGGCTTCTCCACATAAAGTTACAATTTTCCCCTTTCTGTACTCTACTCCGTAGAAGCAAGTAACTAAGTCTATCCTACCTTTAGGGATGAAGGGCAGGACTCAAGCTCCATGTCTTTGAGGAAGGAATATCTGCCTATATTATTTGGAATTTTTCTGTAAGGAAGATTTGTTTCTTCTCCTGCATTTATTCAAACATTTATTTATGTCAGTAAGGACTCATGTGTATTGATTTGACATTTTGGATTATAAAACAGTATTACATAATGTATTTTGTTGCCCAGGTCATTCCAGCTTTGGCCATTGTGTGCTTTTTTGTTGTTTTTAGACGGAGTCTCACTCTGTCGCCCAGGCTGGAGTGCAATGGCACGATTTTGGCTCACTGCAACCTCTGCCTCCTGGGTTCAAGCAATTCTCATGCTTCAGCCTCCCTAGTAGCTGGGCTTACAGGCCTGTGCTGCCATACCTGGCTAATTTTTGTAGTTTTAGCAGAGATGGGGTTTCACCATGTTGCCCAGGCTGGTCTCGAAGTCCTGACCTCAGGTGATCCACCCACCTCGGCCTCCAAAAATGCTGGGATTACAGGTGTGAGCCACTGCGCCCAACCCATTGTGTCCCTTTGACGTGACTCATCTTTTTGATTTTGAGTGCTTTCTTACTTTCTGGTGCTAGAAGATATTCTGGGCTCATTTTTTATTTTTCCTGCTGCAGCCCTAAAATGAACAATTTTTCAAAGGAACCTTGGTACCTTTTATTGTTGAGTGGTATATATAAACCAAGATCTAGGTGTGGTCATTGCTACTAGGACACAAAGTAACTTCAAAGGAGAAAGTTAAATATAAAGAATTATTAACTAACTATAATAGGAGATTGGAGTAATGGGGGATGGGCTAGTAAGAAGTAGATAGATCTCTAGAGAATATAGGAATAGCAGCTATAAGAAGGAACCACTACCGCTAGGGTGGAGATAGAATGTCCAAAGAAGAAACCCCACTAAGGGTGTGATCCAGAACTGCTGGAAAGGGCACAGCCACAGCTCACTCAGATCCAGAGAGGCTGCTGTGGTACTATTCTAGCAGAACTTGCTGGAAATATGCCCTCTAGAACTTTTATAGGACTTTTGAAAAAAATTCTTCATGGAAAAGTCTCACCAGAAGCACTCTGCTACAAAAAAGGGGAAGTTGTTGGCTGATGGGTGCTGCTAGCCACAGTGTACTACGGGAGCTAGATGCTAGAGAAGCTGTCCATGCTGCAAGAACTTGGTTCTGGATAAGCAATTTGTGCTACAGAAACAAGGCATTGGAAAAGCCATAGGTGCTCCAGGAGCCAGGTACTGGCGCAGCCATTGGCACTGTGCTTACATTGCAGAAGCTTGGTGCTTTAGGAGCTAGCGCACTACGTGCTCTGAGTGCACTGGAACTAGAATGGAAAACTCCTTTTGCAATGTCTCTCTAGCGCCCCTGATTGAAAATACGTAACAGTTGGCCAACTGGCAATAGAAAAATATTTGGAGGGCACATATCCGTTTATGTAGAGCAGGCAATGAAGGATAAATTTAGAGCTGAAAGGCAATAAGTTGATAACTGTTGATGTACACTCCTTTGGTTATCTAACTCCTATATGCACCCTCCACACACGTTTGCATTCCTATACATTAAAAAACCCTGTATTTCCACCTAGTATACAGCAATTCATCTTAGAAGTGAACATGCTCATACTCTCTTCCTAAAATGAGGAGATGCAAGTCCCAACATTCACTGGATTCATTGCTGGTTATATTAAATTTTTTTCAAATTAAGTCACAGTTCTGCTGAATATTCTGTTTCCTAGATACTAAAGTGAACTTGCAACAACTAGCATATAAAACAAAAAGGAAAAAAAGAAAATAGCAAATAAAAAGAAGTATATACATATAACAAACAAGTAACAAACATTAAGAGCTATTACAAACGTCTTTCATGTTATTGGTCACAAGATGATAACTGATATTTATGGCTTCTCTCTTCTACTTCCCATCCCTTATTTCCCCCACTCTCAGCCCAAACTTCAGTTACTTGGGGTTATTTACCTGGTGGAGTGGCTCAAACCTCCATTACTGAAAGATCTACATTCCTACTTGTCCTGCCTTTTTTTGATTGTTGACATTTCTCATCAGCGTTTATTACTGGCATGGGAGTATTAAGAGGTAAT